TTCATGCTGTCATGACATCAACCATAGTAATAAATGTTACAAATACCGACATGTATAAATTCTTTTTTTTTTTTCGAAAAACCTACATGTATAAATTCAGTTATAAAGACATATAACTAATTATATTAATGTCAACAATTTTATTCCGTACAAACCTGAATAAAATTCATTTAATTTATGTTAAGATAAATCATAAATTTATTATATATGTTACGCACCTATTCGAGAAATCATAAATTTATTATATATGTTGTGCAAGGTGCATGCTTAATAAATATTGTAAACGCAGTAAAAAAAAAAACTATAATTCCATTACTGAAACGTAATCAAATTCTAGTTTTTATTATTTTTCTGAATTCAACCATTACGCATAACCAAATTATTGTAATTAGTCTATTAAAAATGTGAGTTAAGAATTAATTCTCACTTAAGAGCGAGAGAAAAAAGAGTTTGTTAAGTTATAGTAAACTATATTTAAGACTTTACCAATTACAAATACCGAATTACATCATAAACTCTCCTTCTTCATAACTTGCATTGCAACCGAGAAATGTTTAATTGAAAATAAATAAAAAGGTTTTTAAAATGTGTTAGAGAGTTTTTGGCCCAGATTCAAGAAGTTCGTGTATGTATATATCTATATATAGATATTTAGTTCAACAATATGTGGTGTGGATAACCAAATCTTTGGCCTTTTGATCGAGATATGTCATAACTAGTTAAATTATGCTCAGGTTGGTAAAGAAACAAAAATTAAGACTAAAAATATTAGTGAAAACTAAATTATTACAAATAAAATCACAATCACCAGAAACATCATAAGAGTGAAAGTAAAAAAGAAGTAGAAGCATATTTTAACAAAAATAAGCATAAAAAACTAAAAAGCCTCCCATGAAGATTCAAAACAAAATAACTCAAAGGGAAAGGGCAGTATCTCAGTAAGTAGGGACAGATGGATCAACTTTGAGAGAATATGCATGGATTCCTCCAGACACATTGTATACTTTCTTGAAACCCTGAATAACAGAAGTAATAATAAAAAACAGTTACTTTTATCTTTCCAAAATCAAGGATAATATTGAGGATAGAAATTGATATGGGAATTTTTCTGGTACTACAGGAGTACAACGTATTCCTTTCATTCACAATTTGACACATCATTTAATGATGTGTTATTTTATTTCATAGGTCCACACTATATGTTGTGTTGAGTTGGCAAATAATATTACATACTCCTGTAGTACAGGAAATTTTCCACTGTTAACTGCTTCTATGAAAAGTAAGAAGTAACCAGAGGCTTAAAATGAATGAGGTGCAGCCGGAAGCTGATAAACTCAGCTAAATCTATTAGAAATATGATTATCAATGAAATTAATGTTTAGCGATTTAACACGAATTGCCTATTCAGACTAGAGACTACTACATTTTTCAGGTTTGAAGAGAGACGAAACAGAATCACTAATAAAATACAGACTATAATGTATTGAGGGAAATTTTCGAGGTGAGATTACCTGCATTTGTAAGTATTTTGCGACCTGCAATGACCTCACTCCATGGTGGCACTGCATTCATTGGTAAACAAAAATTTTCAAAAATCTCAGGAGAAATTGGCTAAGCAGGAAGATTTAGAAAATGATAAGTGGCAAAAAGGGCGGATTTGATCTCAGTTCTTAATTCCATTACAGTCTACAGATACAAATAAATAATGATATAATTTATAACTATCATTGAAACTCGAGTGAAGTTAAATTTCACAAACAATTCTAAAGGTTCTAATTGCATCCAAAGAGTGAATCATCATGCTTTAGGAGGGACCAATATCATCATTCCTTTTGAACTTTTTATATACTTCTAATATTTATTATGTTGTGCCCAAAGTAGTGAAAGAGTGGCTCCTCTCAAGTCTTCATGGTCATGGCCTTAGAAATAGTGCCAAGATTCTTTGGATCAACAGCTTTTATGCCCTTCTTTGGGAGTTACAAATTGCTGTGCATTGCTATAGGTAGAGACCATTTCCAATGATCCAAAATTGCATTTTGATAAACCTTGTGAGATAATACTGTGATAAGCAGCTACTAGTATTGCTCATAACTTGGTGCAACTCATGACAAAACTAAACATTGAGAATGAATGACATTTTATAAAGGAGAAGCAAGAAAGTGGATAAATCAAGATTCCCTATGTCCCCTGAAAAAAACAATTGATTTTTCGTGAAAGGCGTCATCAAGCTAGGGCTTCCATGAAATTATCAATGAGTTAGGAATGAATAGTATCTATTTATTAGCTCGAGTGAGAGACTGAGACTATTAGAATTCGAGTGGAGGATTTATATATTTGTACTTTCTCTTTTATTCTAAAGTCTAATTATGTCAGTAGTGCATTGTAATATTACTACCAATTACTATAGCTTAAATTTTCCTTCTCTTTTAACCGTTGCTAAGTTGTTCCTTTTTGGTTTTACTGCCTTATTCTACATATCCACTTCTTTCTTGGCAGTCCATTTTGATATATTTATACTTCCTCTTATCATATTGAATAATCCCCTATCATCTAGGGCCAATCCAAGGAAATAGAATTGAACAATCTACTAGGTCATACGAGAAGAATTACTCTCTCTTAGACACGAGTCATGATTACATCAACTTAAAAGCAATCCAGGAGACCATGTTCTTCACTAGTTTAGTTACCTCCCTCATGAAGTAAAAGTCAGAGACCAACAAGAACTAGTGAAAAGTCCATTTTTTAAATCATTCTTTTTGTTTTTTATGAAGTCAATCACAGAGGATTTTCATAATACCTTTTGGTAGTAAAGTGGGCATCGTCTTATCAATCCCTACAAGTTTTCTTTTTATAAACTATTTATTTTCAAAAACAAAAGCAAACGTGAAATAAATCAGAATAAAATGAAAAAAGGGCCAAGCAATAGGGTAAAGCTATTTGGAAAGGCGATTACCAAAAAGATAAAAAGTTTTTCTCTAAACTTTGTTCTGAGAAAAGGGATGAATATAATTGATAAAATCCAAGTCAGAAAATTTTTCCTTGATCTTCAACCGAATTGGTGAGGGCTGAGTGGGAAACAAAGTGCCGATCATTTGTCTACTGTGATTTTCCTATGGCTCTTTTGCCAAAATTATTACAGTTATTTGGTATCAGCTTCCTTTCTCAGACTGGAGATAAGGGGTTGTTTCTCTCGTTTGTGTGGGGTACCTTTCAAAAACAAAAATATATTTTTCTGATCTAATATTGTTTGGGCTATCGTTTGGTGGTTGGAGCGAACCATGAGAATTTTCCAAGAGAACAAGAATTTGTGGAGTGAAGTTGGGGGTTATTTTTTAAGCTTCTATTTGGAGGTGGAAATCCAAAACCAAAAGAGTTCTCTGACTATCCTCCTTTAATTGCTTCCAATTAGAAAGTTTCCTTCTATTCATTAAAAAAAAATTAATTACCATGACATAAGTCTCCTTCTGAGGATCAAACTTCGTAGTTACTTCTGGTCCCCAGCTTCCAAATTGGCGGAGAGGTAGTACCTGAAAATCTGGCAAAGAAGCCTGGTCCCTGTTTTATAGAAAAGAGTTCAGGATAGCTTCGTATATAAAATAGTTCATATTAAATCCAATATTTTCTTTCCTTCTACCAAAGACAAAATATGGGAGGAAAATAAGATCCCATACATTAGATAAGGTAAAAGTTCCCAAGTTTGAAATATCAGACACAATTAACAAGACCATGGTGCCACACAAACAAGCCCTTTATGTATCTTGATTCCATCCAAATACCTATAAAAATTTTTAATTTTATTTGGGGTGACCAAAATAAGATTCCAATGAGGACACTTCGCAAGTTCACAGTTTCTTGACCAATATACTTATTATGGAATGGAGTAAAAAGTCCACTTGTTGCAACTACTGCCAATCGAAACATTTGGATGAACCCTTTTCTTCATAGAAAATACTTGAGTCCTTCTAATCTTGTCCTTACCACCGTTAAACGTTTGACAACTAAGAGAGAGCAATGCAAAAACAATAACTTTTTTATAGAAAATAATAAGTTGTCAATTTTTCAATACTGGTGAGGATAAGATTTGGTCCTTACCGGTAAGACATAAGTATTTTCCTTTCTCCATCTTTAACAAAACGTGGAAGCCAAAAGGGATTTTGCAGAACAACAGTGAACCCATGGAAAAGTGGGGTACATAAATAAAGAAGAAGAGGAATAGGTACGTACACTTCTTCAGGTTCTCGGACATCAATTAACTGTGCCTCATTCAAGAAGTTCTGATCTTGCATTTTCGAATGAAGCTCCTCAGGTTGAATGTCCAGAAGTACCGATTCTTCTCTACGAGGAAGAGTTGTAAATGTGCGACACATTATAAAATGATGCAGTGTCACAGTCAAGGTTTTCATGTAATTAGAGAGAACATTGTCTTGTCTTGTGGTCATACCTCTCAGATATAACTTGCAATAAGTGCCATCCAAACTGTGTTTTACATTTTACCACTTTGTTTAAGGGTGCACTAAAGGCAGCCTCCTCAAACTCTGGTACCTGGACACATGTCACCATAAAAGATTGATCATTCCTTGGCTTAGCGAAAAACAATAACACAAAAAGTGCAGCTCCCTCTTCAAGTTGTTAAAAATATGTTGACATTCACTACAACTCAAGGTTTTTTATTTTGTTTTTTTTTTATTTTAATGTAAATAATGGACGTGCGCACAAGAAATTACATTGGCCAGTCTCTCTTATTTTCTTAGTTCAGCAGCGCATCCGTAGTATGCATTGTTACCTTGGTAACTAGATTGATGATTATAACAAAAAGTTTTCTTAATGAAGAGAAAAAATGAAGGTGGATTAGAGAATCAAACATACTCAACCTGAGAACCTACGATTTCACACTTCTCAAAGTGCAATGTTTTTCGCATCTTATTCTCACCCATGCATATAAAAGAACCAGAAGAGAACTGTAGTGACAAAAACTAAGACCACGTTCAACACAGTAAGAGATATGCTCCATTGTAAAAAATAAAAATTTGGAAGCTTGAATTATCAGAAGTCCAGAAGCAGACCCCACAGCAGCTGACGTTATGAACCTATTATAACCTTGCTCGTTTCTCCTATGCATTGACTGCATTGCATACTCTTAGTATTACATCCATTCTCCCTATTTTGTAAATGGAGAATGGATGTAATAGGAAATCGAGATATTAGCCATAATCTTAGGTAGGAGTGTTCTTTAACTATTGCTTATAAATCCAAAGAACTCATCATAACCATACACAATTTGTAACAATGAAGTTTCAAGCTCCACAATAATTAAGAATGTAGGAGAAAAATAAGTCATCACTCAGCAGCATAATGCATACCATTTGCCCCTTCCTCACCCATCCAAGCATTCCTCCTTCTTCTTTGGATGGGCAGATTGAGTACTCCACAGCAAGATCGCTCAGATCTTCACCTGAATGCAGAAAGAGAAAATGGAACATGAGAACATTATTGAATGATTAGTCAGAAGTACCACATATACCAACTAATATGTGAAAAACAATGTCCATATGATGTAATTTTAGCAATATTTAGACTCTCAAAGTTCATATAGTAGCTCATCCATCCTACAATGCTCATATTATACTTCTGCCACACTCTGGGGGAGAGGGAGGGGGAGAGAGAGAGAGAGAGAGAGAGAATTAAGTTCTTTACACAATGCTAATGTAGATCAATACTAACCGCCGGAAATTCTCTGCTGAAGATCCAATAAGAGCTTAACGTCATCTTCTTTAACAAGCAAGTGCTGCACCAATAATTCCCTACTATCTCCACTGCCTCCAGTGGAACTAAATGAAGCTGAAAATGACAGATATTAATACAAGCACACCGAAGTATCTCATACAATCTAATGGATGCTTGCATCCATGTGCAGTTGCATCTATTTGTCAAAGTGCATAATTAAGCACGCAATGCGACATTTTTTGGTGAAACAAAGAGATGCAGATTTGAGAACTGAAATAGGTAATTGATCTCAACTCTAGTTATTTACCCACTTTCCTGATATATTTGGAATGTTTTATAGGAGATAGATTTCCTAAATTAAATAACATCCATGCATACTGACATCCAGCAATTCTGAGATACTTGGACAGATGAATACTCAGATGTCTGGTCTCGCACTCTGTTAGTCAAGCTGGGATTTCTGGGGGTACAGACTATGAGACTAGAAACAGACTTCTAGCGTACACATGGATTCTAAAAAAGTAGTAACAATAGTAAAGAAGTTTGAACATCTTACAGCTGACTTAACTGGTAGTCAACATCGTTACTAATTAAGATATGAAAAATATATTATTGCTTTTCATTTCTTTTCTTCAATGAAATCAAGTTGACTATTGAAAAATAATAATAATTCTAATTGAAGTTCCTTGATCATAATAAACATAAAAGCGAAATGTTGTAAGTTTACAGGAAACTTAGGCTGGTAGACGGCACCATTACGATCACAATATGAAAAGAAAATTATTGTTGCCTTCCGTGAATAATCTAATTAAATCTCTTCTTTTTGACTTCCCCATTCTAAATAAGTTTGATGAGCCACCAATATAACTCCGGAAAGTAGAATCGGATAAAAAAAGTTGTCAACATAAAGAGTCAAATAATAACTTCACATTAGAGTTTTGCCTAAAAATAAAGGAAAAGAAAAACCTCATCTACCTACCTCTATATTATATTCTTAGTCAAGCACTTTCAATTTTCCATTCCACTAAATAATCAAATTCTTGGAAACTTCTTCCATTTTACCATAACATTGCCATTCCATTACATAAATTGCAGGACAAATTAAAACAAGTTGGGGGCTTTTAAGATGATGAGTACCGTAATATATTAAGGCTGTAGTCTTGATAATTCTTTCCTATTTCCACAAGGCATTAACCTTGATAGTCTTTTAAAACAATGACGTCCACAAAATAACTAATCTATTTAATCAATTAGTTTTCTCTGCACTTTTCTAGGCAATTTCCAGAAAAAATCATTCTATTTTCTTTGTTTCCGTCATTTTAAACTAAGACTTGGTAAAAGATGGTAATTCAAAGTGTCCAATATAAAATTTTAGCTCTGGTAAAATTGTTTTTCCTGTAATTCTAAAGTCAAATCGCGAGATTCAATTTGGTCTCGTTTCTTTAATTTCTTACATTTTCAAAATTCACTGGGAAAAAGATTATAAATCGAATGTTGCTTGAATTCCCACATTGATCATTGATGTAGACGAATTCCAAACCCCCTATCACGTCTCAAGAAGTCAACAAATTGTATGTACAGAAATTTGTTAAAAATCTTATGCTTCCGAAGTTCTTCATTGTACGCTGGTTTTTTCCAGACTAAGCAATTGTAACAACAAGAGTGCTGGGGTTTTTTTTTTATAGTTATTTTAAGACTTTCCTATGATACGTCGGCTAATTAAATTCAGTAGCTCCCGATCCAAGAGATACGAGTATGTAATATTTTACCATTCATCCGTTCATGAGGTACTCAATTGGTACCGAGATTCTTAGAACACGAAGAGAAGTCAACCAGAAAACAAATGTGTTTCCAAATCAAGAAATGCATCCCTTCATAAGATAAGACGACCAACACTTCTAGCCAAGTGCGATACAATACAACTATTCCACCCACATCTGCTATTAGTAAAAAAAATGCAAGAAATTCATATTCCAGTCGCATTTCCTAGGCCGATGCCTTATTCATTTCAAAACCAGAAAGCATCAAATAAACAATAAATAAACACAAACAAAAACTTCAAATCGACAAAGGATGGATTGAATCTGTGAAGAAACAACTGACCTGTTACTTTAGAACTCGGATGATGAACGGACATGGAACGAGTCCAGAGACGTTGGCCGTGTTTGAAGCTTTTGGGGACATGGGAGCAAAATGGAGCATAAAAGCAAGCAGAACGGAGATTCGACTGATTAGAAAGCCAGAGAGCGGGAATCCAGCGTCGCCCGAAAGCGTTGAAAACCGGTGATGCAAATGGCGGCAGACGACTGCACCTCAACATTGAATGCTGCACTGTACTGAAACTTCTAGTCTCCGGCGAGTCTCAGTTCACAGATGCTTATCGCCGGCCGCAGCTTGCTCAGATGCAATTTCGCTCCGGTTAGGCAGTTCTTCACAAATCAATTAGTCTTCGCGTTCATATATCTTTCCATTATTCATTATTCATTATTCATTATTCATTATTGTTTGTTTGGATCTTTCTTTTTCATTACAGCATTAATGTGTATTAATTATTCAAATATTCTTTCTTATGAGTGCTCCTAAATATCACAATTTTTTTTCTTTTTTAAATGGTGTGTTTTAAATTATGTTGTTTTTGTAAAATTTATTAAAAATATATATAAGGGAGACAGATCAGTTTTTAACTCTGAATGTGGCAAGATGTATTGCTTTTTGTTTCATCCTGCTGCACAATTGAAGCAATATAAATTTGTAATTTAAACTTCAAAAAGTATTGCAATTAATATTATTCATTAATAATATGTATTGTTTCTAGTTAAGATTGAAAATTTTCCCGTGCAAAATGTTAACCTAATTATTATTTTTGTCCTTAAATTTTATTGAGAGCATGTGTTTAAAATAGCAAATCAAGTATGCAGGTGTAACCTTGGAAAGTCTTTTACTTTTT